GGCGGCCGACGCCATCCACGATAATCCGCGCAACATGGCTTTCTACTTAATGGTGAGTAACAGGCCGGTGCCCTGGCTGCGCGCGCGCGCGCGCGCTCGGCGTGGCGTGGCGGGGCGGGGCGGTCGGGCTAAGTGACTTGGCCGAGGAGCCTTGCGCTGGGCCGGGCTCGCGACGCGTGGCTCGTGTGCGATACGGCAGAGTGTAATGCGCCGGCCGCGCCAACCTCTCACCTCGCACGCTGCCGCACGGCGCACACTGCCCGACCCCGCCAGCCCCGCTCCGTCCCGCCCCGCCCCACGCCACTCCCAGACCAGACATTATGCATTTCGCTCCCTTCTTGTGCAGACGACGACGATACGTACGATGCACAGGTGTATAATAAAAAACGCTGACTTTTTTTTTCAGGGAAAAAATAATAATACACAAAACAAGAACAACGCGCCGCGGTGGTGGGTGCGCGCAGCATGGCAGCGGCGGTCGGTAGTAACAGCACAACAAACCACGATGCTCGCAGATCACGCCACGGCGCGTCACGGGGTTAGCGAGCCGTGAATGCGAGTGTCGGTCGGCCGGCCGGCACGATCTGCCTCGCGCGCTCACACACACATACACACACACAGTGACCGCAGCGCGGCGTGGCGGCGGCGAGCAACAAAGACATCTTCATCCCGATCACCTGAAGCCATTACTCCGTCCGGCCCGGCCCGCGCTGCTGCCAGAGCAAATCACCGCCGCCTGCCGCGGCCGCGCAGTGCATTCGGGAGTGTTTACAACTCAGTGTTAAGCAACGAGTACCGGAAAAGCGCGGCTCGGCGCGTCCGCGAGGGAGGGTGGCTGCTGCTGCTGCTGCTGCTGCTGCGGGGCGGGGCGCGGGTGCCCCAGGGCGGGCCCCAGGGCGGGCGGGCCTCACGGCGCCCCGGGCGGGGGTTGTGACGGCCGCGGTAATGGTCCACGACGTCGTAAACCGGGATACGACTCCCCGGCCGCGCCCCGCCACGCCGCGCCACGGCCCGGCGCGCAACAGCTGGCCGCTAAAACGGGCGCGCATTGAGAGAAGAATAAGAGCGAGCGAGAGAGAGAGAGAGAGAGAGAGCTAGAGTATCGCGCGGTCACCTCATCTTGCACGTCATGCACTTTCTTGCAATAAGGTCTGAGAGACAGCAGCCGAGGCAGCGACGCTAGGGGCGTACCCACTCCGCCTTGCCCCCACCAACCCTCTGCCGACACGCACTCCCTACTCCCTGTTTTCGCCGCGACGCAGTGCGATACACCCCCCTCCCTCCTCCCACCGGCGAGAACCGCTGTGGAGAGAGAGAGAGGGGAGAGGAGAAGGCGAAACACCTGGTGCCCGCTGGTGCCGCACTGGACACATCCCCTCCTCCTCCCCGGTGGCGTCGCGCACCAGTGGATTATATGGCGACGCTTTGCGAGCGTTTTATTTACCGCTATTTCCTGATGTGATGGGCGGGCCGATCGTAAAAGACTGCAACCCCTGGTGGGAAAGCGGCGAGGCGGGCCGCGCAGGCGGGGGTGGAGGAAGACTCCTTGGCCGCCCCAGAGACTGACCCGCTCGTTCTAATAGGTGGTAAAACGCAAGATAACGTCGCGAATAATTGGAATCAGGTGGAAGCTACCGCTTGATCCTCCTCCCTCACCATTCGCGTCTTTACGAGAGGGACAGGGGCAGAGAGAAAGAGACAGAGAGAGGGGGATGAGAGGAAAAGAGGGGAGGACGAGACGGGACAGAGAGAGAGCGTCGCGGAAGACTCTCTCCCGTCATTCAATCTTCTCGCGCACCGCGGCGTCTGGCGTTTACTGCCACTCTCGGCGGCCTTTTTGGCTCTCCGGGGCAGGGGGGAAGGAAGGGGGGAGGGGGCAGCTTGTCTGCGCCACCGCCAGCATTGCAGCGGCTACAATTACGACGCCATCTCACAGCGGCCGCCGCCCTTAAAAATCGCTTTCCTGCAGCCGTCTGCCGCGAAAACAGCCAAATTTGCAAATTGCTTTGGCTCTGGTCGGAAACTCAGTACACAGTGCTGCTGATGGTGATAACATGACGAGACGTCAAAACTACAATGTAAAGAGTACTACCAAAAATGTAAAATAAATGGTAATTCAAGGTGCTTTTCTTAGAGCGAACTTACCGGCTCGATTTGACTGGTCGATCATAGGTTGAACGATCCGCCGCCTCGCGTTGATAAACCTGCAGGCAGAAAAAAGAGAGAAACAACGTTAGGCGCGGCGGAAACAAAAAACCATAGAACAGCTCGAGGCGGGTGGGAATGACAAAGTGTGACCAGAGGCCGCCGCCCAGCGCCACCCAGCGGGGCGCGCCATTCAAAGCGCAGGGGGTACAAGAGTAAGAGAGCGAGGGAGAGAAAGAAAAAAAAAATGCCGGAAACATTACAGGCAGTCCTCCTGGAGACACAATCATCTGGGAGCTTTGTAACAGCAAAGGCAGCAGCGGCGTTTCTCCGAGGGGGAGGGCGAGTTTGAAAGGCGCGCAGAGAGACCCACGGCCAGAGAGGAAAGGAAATACAAATGGCGATATGAAAGGCCCTCCTCCGCCTGCCAATCTGTTCGACAGTGTAGCGACACGGGTGGCGCTCTGCGGGCGCTGGCCAAGAAAGTCATATCGGGAATGGAGCCGTGGCGCGCCGTGCCGGGCGGGGCCGTGCGCGCCAGCGAGCCCTGGCCGCCCCGGCGGGAGGGTGCTGATCACTCGCCTGAAAAACCAATCACTTCCGTTGTCCGAGTGCGTTAGTGTGAGGTGGCGCGCACCCCCTGCACTTACAGCGGGAATAACAACGACTCGGCGGCAACTCCGCCGGGAGCAAGAGACCATGAAGGGAAAAAAACCAAAGTCTTTCCCAAAACATTATATAAAAATTCACGACTCGGACTACCGTCTCGATTCTCGATCCCCCCGCCCAGCCTGCAGCGACAGCCCGCGGAGGGAGGAGGCGCGGCCCACCCCCGGCCCACCACTAGATCACCCCGACAAATAGACGGCGCCCCCTCCCTCTTCGCACCTTGCGGCGCGGAGAAACAATATTTAGCGCCCCGATGCGTGGCGTGGCTCGGCGGGTCGCGGCCCTCCCTCCGCAACACGCATGACGTCGTAATCTTCCGGCCGACGAACGCCCCGCCGATAAATTCCCAGCGGAACAGCCGAGCGCGGGGGCGGCAAGGGCGGGGACCCGGCGGGGACCCCGGGGTGGATCCGCCTCGCGACAACAAAAGACGCGAAAACCACCCTCACGATCCATCAACACCTACACTTTTTTTTTAAACCACTTTCTTTTTATGTTTCCCCCCCACGCAATGTATACGTCCTTTTTTTCTCGTTCTCCTTGCCTTAGTTGCCCCTCCCACCTAGTTTTTTTCTATATATGAAAATTGGCGAAGAATAGCGGGCGCGGTGTTATTCACGACGGCGCGATAAAGCGTCTTCATCAACAACAGGAGCGCCTCAAACGGGCGGGAAAATGGGCGCGTCATTAGAGGGAAGGGCGCATCGGCACTTGACTCGCCCGGGTCACTAGAAGCATAGCATGTATACCGTTTGCAGTGTACAGCTTCCCGCTCGGACCCCGCGCCGTATACATTTCGACAACCGACGCGGGTCGTGTCCATCCCGCATTTTTCTCGCCGGCCCGGCCACAGGGACGCAGACGGGACATCAGATACTACCTTACCAACCCCATCCACCCTTTAAGCCGAAGTAGTTTACAGCGGGGCCCGAAATGAAGCGGTAGTACCTCGCAGGGGTCAGCGCCATGGCCGCAGCCGGGGCCGCCGGCCGGGGCGTCCTCGGAGGGTGGGAGCGAGGAGGATCTTATCAGCACGAGGAGGGGGTGGTTGCAGCGAGGGGGGAGGGCGAGGGGGAAGGACAAAAGATAAGGGAAATGAACCGTGGACGACTGAAACGCGTGCAGTGACCACTAGGGGTCCGGGCCGCTGTTGTGGTCTGCGCATCACATCCCCCACGAGCCCTGCAGCGTGGCAGGCGGGCATCACACGTCATTTCACCCACGCAGCCCGTCAGTCCTGGGCGCGCGCGCCCGCCTCTCGCAGAACCACCACCACCGCGCCGCTGCCTGCACCCCCGCCCTGCTGCTGCTGCTGCAACAGGAAAAGCTAGCGGCGCCAAAACTTTGCGGGCGTGCGCGCCTCCCTCCCTCCCCGGCACCGATATCTTTCTTCCTCCGCAACGCCGTCCTGCGCTCCCTCGCCTCACCGGGGCATCCTGTCCCAGGAGCATTCCCACCCGGCGCCCGCCCCGCCCCGCCTCGCCCCACAGCGCCCCGACTTGCCTGCTGATAAAGCCGCGAACGTAAAGTACTGCCATTAGAATTACCATTAAACGCAACCTCCTCCTCCTCCCCCCGGCGGAGCGTTAATCTAATCATCTCGCCTCCCTCCTTCGTACAAAAATACCCATTATCTGCCCGCCGAAGCTTTAATTACAAAATCAATACAGCGGGAGGGTGGCGCCGGCGCCTGAGGACCTCCATTAAGGCCATCGGTGGAGAAATGCATGCGGATCAAAAGATTCAGACATTGGGGGAGGGAGGGGGAGAGGCGTCAAGGTGTGCGTCGTTCGTTCCACCCTCTTCCAGCAGGTCCTTTCGCGACACCTCCCCCTTGTTAGCGAATTGGTCCCGATACCGTGCAAGTGCTCGGCGATAGGGTCAAACGAATTCCAAAAGGAACAAAAAAAAAAAAGAGGAAAAAAGAAAGGGCCATCCCCTCGAGTTAACGCGGCCACACAACGACAACCACCCAGCGACCCAAGGTGGGGCATCCATGCCAGGACGCACCCCGAAAAAAAAGGGAAAGGGAGGGAAAAAATGAGAAAGAAAGGCAACTCCACAGACCTTTTTTCCCTTTCTACCATGGCGTCCTCTTGTCATTTGCACCTCCTCTATTGTTATCGAGGACGTGCATCATGAGCGAGAGAGGGAGAGAGAGAGAGAGAGAGCGCACAAAAGAGAAAGAGAGAATGCGAGACTGGAAAACGCGGAGGGAAAAGAACGCGAAGCAGCTCGCAGGGGCGAGAATATATACGTATATACTCGGGGACAACGACAACACACATGGAATGTCATTAAAAGCGGCCGCCGCAAAAATTTGCATAAAACATCAACCCTTTCACAATTTGCCGAGTCGATATGGCGGGCGGCCACCGCAGCACAGCCCGCCGCACAACTTGAGCGGCCCAGCCTGGCCCGGGTGTCAGGAGGACAAACTAACTACGGGGCGCTACGGGATGACAGGGGTTTGCGGACCACCAAACTCGGCATCGCGCCACGCCCCC